AGTGTGGGAGAAGAGCAGTGAACATCCCATAGAACTGATGCCTTTGAGCTGTAGTGTGGGAGAAGAGCACTGAACATCCCGTAGAAGAACTGATGTCTTTGAGCTGTAGTGTGGGAGAAGAGCACTGAACATCCCGTAGAAGAACTGATGTCTTTGAGCTGTAGTGTGGGAGAAGAGCAGTGAACATCCCGTAGAAGAACTGATGCCTTTGAGCGGTGGTGTGGGAGAAGAGCACTGAACATCCCCATGGACAGCCAAGTCTTGGAAAGAGTGCAGCCAAAGTGCTCGTTGGAGGCTAGAATGATGAGGCTTCACCTCACATACCTTGGGTATGTTGCTAGGAGGGGCTAGTCCTTGGAGAGGAACATGATGCTGGGATGGGTGGAGGGTCAGCAAAGGAGAGGAAGACCCTCAACCAGGTAGATTGATATAGTAACTGCGACAATGGGCTCTTATGTGTCAGGAAGTGTGAGGATGATACAGGATAGAACAGGGTTCAGATCTCTTGTTCATACGGTCGCTATGAGTCATGCTCAATTCGACAGCACCTAACAACAACTACAAACAACATATACATAAACATCACCATCCCACAAATAAGCAAATAAATTTTAAAACAGACACTTTGAGCCTGTATCTTTGTGTGATTTAGACACAACTGACTCACAGGATCAAATTTCCTAATGAAACAGACAATCATAAATGGTGTACTCTGATGAGTGAAAATGCGCTCAATTGCTTCAAAATACAACACAGCATTGTATCTAGCTCCTGTAAACGCTTTCTCCATTGTTATATGTTACCGCAAATCATTGGTTTGTCAACAGCTGAGTAAAGGCAATTCCCAACGACATGAAGGGGGTCTGGGAGAAGGGGAGGCAGGACGAGGTGCTGTACAAAGCATTGCCAAGGACAATGAAAGCTGTAGCAATAGGCACGTGGCATTTGTTGAAAGTGACAGGATCGTACACCACTAAGAGTGGCCTAGATTTAATGCAATGATCATTATTAGCTAACTGAGTATAACAAATATCTAAGTGGCAAGATGCTAAGGGGGAAAATAGCGAAGAGGAGGTATATGCAAACTTGACTTTCTCTACAAATTCACTGTAAACCCTCAATGCTCTAAAAATAAAGTCAACTTTTAAAAATGATAAGAACAAACTTACTTGTCTAAAAAGAATTGGGAAGTCCTCTGCACTCTCTGCTTTCCGGATTCCTTTCCCTCCACCACCTTCCGAAGCTTTGATCATCAATGGGAAACCTATCTTTTCTGCAGCCTGGGAGCAAAGGACAAGCAGATCTCTTTAAAGTTAACCACTTTGGCAGCGGCCAGGCCCAGTGAGGGGATCCCTGGTTCCACCAACTCTGTGCTCACCTCCAAGCCCTCATCAATGTCCTTCACACAACCCCTTTCATATACATCCTCTGGGACACTGATCGTTTCGCCCTGCCGTAACCCGTCCTCTGCCCACTCCACCATCAGACCTGCAGAGACACAAAGTGGGACCCTTCCCAGGAAGGCAGAAATGCACACACCCCACCGTAAACCGCAGGGCTCTCTCCTCACTCACATCACCGCGGACCCAGGCAGGGTCTGCACTAACCAAGTACAGACATGTTGCTTTAGCTACCAACAATAGTGGCCTAGTTGGTAAGGAATTGCACAGCCAATCCAACAGCAGGTAGGAATCCATCAGAGGCCCCACAGGAGAAAGATGGCCAATCTCCTCCCACGTGAATTACAGCCTCTGAAAACCCCATGGACGATCAGCTTTAAGGTGGTTCTGACTCAGTGGCACATAACAACAATAACAACATACACCATTATTTTTAATATTTTTTAATAAGTGGCGGTTAATCTAATCGAAATTCCCTAAAAGTGAAGCTCTGGAAGGCATATTCTATGTGATCTGACACAGGCATTTCAAGTGTTACGAAGTCTATTTATTGATGCAGAAAGTTACTCATTAGTGGGGGTGGGGGGCAGAAGATCATAAACCAGTAAAGATAAAAGATCTATCTTTTTCAAGGAAATATCCAGAAAAAGGCTGGGAGGGTAGATAACACAGCTCAACAATGGCATCATGTTCAACATGCTCAACAACAGGTCTCAGGATTATGGATGATTTTTACTTTCTTCCTTGTCATATTTTCTAAATTGTCTACAATGGGACTGTATCATTTGTTTAAAAATGTAGAAACATTTTAAGTAGAGAATGAAAACGTAAACTCAGTTTTATGCTCCCCGCCATAATATACACATTCACATATACAGCTCACACTACCAAGACTGGACACCAAGAAGTTCCCCAAAGTGAAGTTCAGGAACTCTTACCACTTCCACTCCAGGGCAGCGTTGGGATCTGCAGCGTCTGAGCCACGATGGTCGATGCGATCTTATCCCCCAGAGCCCACATGGCCTCACTGGGTGGACCTGGGGAGCCAAGGACAGGAAGAAAGACACACCAGGTTAAGTCACAAAACCTGCTTCATACCAGGAGGAACACAGAGAGTTCTGTTCATACCATTGTTGTTTTGTGCCATCAAGCTATGACTCAGAGTGACCGACCCTATGAACAATGTATCTGAACTTTACCCTGTCCTGTGCCGTCCTCAGCATCTGTGATACAAGGGAGACCACTGCCACAGTCACCACATCCATCTTGTTGAGGGTCTTCCTCTCTCCCACCCTTCTAAGCATAATGTCCTTCAAGGACTGACCCCTCCTTACAACATGCCAACAACAGAATTTCACCATCCTAGCCTCTAAGAGGCACTCTGGTTTCACTTTCTCCAAGACAGACCTATTTGTTCTCTTGGCAGTCTATGGGATATTAAAACTCTTCCCAAACACCACAACTCAAAGGTTTATCAATTCTTCTTCTGTCATAATTAGTCATTTGTTCAACTTTCAGATGCAAAACAAGCAACTGCGAAGACCATAGCTTGAGCAGGCGCACCTTCATCTTTAAACTGGCGTTGTTGTTGATTGCCTTCAAGTCGAGTACAATTCAAAGCGACCCTATGAACAAAATGCCTGAAGCCTTTCTATAACTATCGTCATTTATCTAATTTCATAGAGTTTCCAGAGGCATGTTGTTTAGAAAGTGTATACCACTCCTGCTTTCAAAACTGTATTGCTCTTTAATACTCTGGGGAGGTCCCTGATAGCAGATTTTTCTCAGTGTGACTCGTCTTTTGATTTCTTGACTGCTGGTACCACAGGTGTTTACTGTAAAAACAACCCTAATGACTCTTATCTCTGTGGCCTTATAGACTTATCCACATGACAGTCCGCCCCTCAACTCCCCACAATGAAAGTGTGAGTTAGCAATTTGAATGTACCCTAGTTAACAAAGCAGAGGTAGAAAGAAAACCTCAACCAGGCAAACTCTCCATCAATGGCCCCAGACTGCCATATGGGACAGAAACACACTTTACCTAGGAAGGCAATCTCATGCTTGTGCAGGAGCTCCGGAAGCTTAGGGTTTTCAGAAGCGTGGCCCCAGCCAGCCCACACAGCCTGCAAAGGAGAGAGGTGCGAGCAGTGAGACTCCTGCCCGTGTCCTGCAGAGCCTGCCTCCTCCACCTCTTTTGAGGCATGGAGTCAGGTCACTCTGCACCTCAGGGCCACCGAGATGTGGACACTCAGGCCAATCTACCTGCACAGGGATTCTCTTGGCAATGTCCACGATCAACTCCACGTTGGCGTAATTGTTGTTATTGGCCCCCCCTGGGACAGGGACATACTGATCTGCCATCTTGATGTATTCTGGAATTAAATGGAGGGAGAACAAGAGGACTAAGTTACTGCAGGCCATTCTGTGAGCCACAACTATACACAGGCATGGACATAAACAAAGACGATGCAGCACGCAAAGATATTTCCATGCAACCTGATGTCCACACGGAAACTTGTACCCAGTCGTACAGGAAAGTTTATAACAGCAGAGTCCAAAGACTAAAATAACTCAAATGTCCACCAAGGAATGAAGTGTGGTGACTCTATACAATGGAATATTACTCAGTTATTATACAAAGGACATATGCAAAGGCAACTCTGGTGACCTAGCGGCAAGAAGCTGCATTGCACTCCCAAAGGCACATGGTTCAAATCCACCAGATGCTTCACTTGGCAGTCTCTCCCTTTGCCAGTCGTATCTGACTCGACAGCACAAAAAAAAAAGAAGGGAAAAAAAATTTTTTTAAAGTACATATGCTACAACACAGATGAATCTTGAAAATAGTATGTTGGATTCAAGAAGTCACAGAAGGAGATATACTGTCAGATGTCTTTTTATGACAAATCCAGAATACAGGTCTGTGGTTACCCGAGCATGGAGGAGATGATGATTTGCTGGGTAGAGAGTGGTGATCTGGGGGTGATGGAAAAATCCTCTAGCTAGTGGGAAGTGGTGCCTGTGTAGCATTGTAAGTACACAAAATGCCATCAAGCTGTGTGCTTTAAAATAATTGATTGCATGTTATGTGAATTTCAACTTAATTTTAAAATACAAAGCAATGGAGAAACGTGTGTGACAACTGGAAGAAAACTGGATATTTAAGAAGCCCTGGTACACATCTCACCCCAGAAGCAGTGGAAAAGTTTAACAGGACAGCAAGTAACAAATGCTAGAGAGAATGTGGAGAGATAGGAACCCTTATGTACTGTTGGTGGTATCGTAAAATGGTACAACCACTCTGGAAGGCAGTTTAGCATTTCCTCAAAGCCGAACATAGAAATTCCATACGACCCAGCTATCCCACTGCTTGGAATATACCCTGAGGAAATTGGAACTGAGGCACAAACGGGGATTTATACACCAATGTTCATAGCAGCGTTATTCACCATCACAAGCACATGGAAACAGCTCACATGTCCAACCACAACTGAATGGATTGAGAAATTATGGTACATTCACATAATAGAATACTACACAGCATGCAGGAACAATGATTTTGAAAATCACTGCCTGACTTGGGAGGGACTGGGAGCATTTTGCTAAGTGAACTAACTCAAAGCCGTAAGGACAGTAGGGTGAGGATGGGCAGGCAGGGGGAGGGCGGTAATAATAGGGTCACACAATTTGATGGATGGAGGAAGGGTGGGTAAAGAAAATGGGAAAGATCTGGAGTGAAAAGCAATGTATGCGAAATTTTTTAGTAAACCAGTACAAAATAAAAATTTTATTTTTTTATTATTATTAAATTTTATTCGTTTTAATGAACATTTACAGGGATTTTGGGTTTTCATTCCTTCATTGCTGCACCATTCTCTCTACCCTCCTCCCCAGTTTGTTCTTCTTCCCCTGTCCTCCGAATGTCTGTTTTAATTGTCCAATTGCCACAGTGCTTGCCAAAGCCAGTTCTGATTAATCTCCTTTGTCATTGTGTCCTTTGCCATTCCCTATCACTCCTCCCTGAGAGAGACTTCACCCTGATTCATAAGGAAAAGGGAATGGCATATTCTCTTAGCTACTTCCTGCTGAAAACGGACGCTGTGGGTTTCAGGGTGAAGATCTTCTCTCACTACTCTAAAGAGCCCCTTTGGC